CGGCTCTCCCCAGCTGTTCCCATCAACCCACAGCTGCTGCCCCCCCCCCTGCATTCCCACACAGTTGTCATGGACAAGACCTAGGGAACAGATGGACGCCAGCCTAGCGCAGGGGGCGGGGGGCGAGGAGTGACGGGCACTGGAGAGACGAGGAGGCTGCAGGGTCGGGGAATGAGGGTCATCCACTGGGCTGGGGGGGCAGGGGCTGCGGGTCAGGAGTGATGGGCACCAGAGGGGGTAGGGGGCTGCAGGTTGGGAATGAGGGGCGCTGTGGAGGGGGAGGGAATGCCCTTCCCCCCCACCCCAAAGTCTCTCTGGGGGCTATTTATAGCCTGGCGTCTGTGATGTAAAGGTCATCATTGTAAATGAACTATGAGATCACCCCCAGGCCTTGGGGGGTGGGGGGGAGCAGCGGGGGAGGGCCACCCAGCCGGGACGCCTGGGTTCCCTGCCCACATCTGCCAGGGGTGCTGTGTTACAGCAGGGGCTGGGGGCCCTGGGAGCCTGGATGTCTAGGTTGTTTTTTTGGAGGAGGGCTGGGAGCCCGGACTCCCGGGTTCTCTCTGCTGTGCTGATTACGCAGCGTGTCCAGGGCCGAGACGGCTCCGCACCAGGGTGCTAAGAGCTCCGTGTAAACCCTCTGGGGCAGGGTGAGAAATTTCACACTGCCAAGCCAAATATTTCACAGGGCCCCTGGGGCTAAGGTCTGCCCGGATGCCTGGGTTCCCCTGGAGCACCAGGGTTCCTGGACGCCAGGTTTTCCTGGCCTGCCTGCATCTCCTCCTCCCCCCACTCCCACCCCTTTGGTGGGCCTGGGAGCCTGGACGTGCGGGTTCTGATCTGGGTCTGGGAAGGGAGTGAGGCCTAGTGGTTTAGTGTGGGGGTGGGCCTGGGAGCCCGAACACCCAGGGTCATAGATTCATAGATGTTAGGGTCGGAAGGGACCTCAATGGATCATCAAGCCCAACCTCCTGCCCATGTCAGGAAAAAGTGCTGGGGTCATGTGACCCCAGCCAGGTGCTTGTCCAGTCTCCTCTTGAAGACCCCCAAGGTAGGGGAGAGCATCACCTCCCTTTGAAGCCTGTTCCAGATTGTGGCAACCCTCACCATGAAGAAGTTCTTTCTGATGTCCAGCCTAACCAGGAATCAAACCCAGGTCAACTGCTTGGTTCCCTGACATCTGGGTCTTGCCTTGGATTCCCTGCATGCTGGTGGAGCTGGGATGCTGGACTCCTGGGTTCCCTGGCATCCCTGGATCTTCCTTCCCCTGGGTTCTCTGGTCTGGTGGGAGCTAGGGGCTGGATGCCTGGGTTGTGCCCCTGGAGGACAGACACACACACACACACACACACAGATGCTGCACACGCGCGCGCGCACACACACACACCCTGGACCCTGCTACTGGGGGCTCCAGAGCCCAAGAATGAGGGTTGGAAGGGACTGTAGGAGGTCACATCTAGTCCACCTCCCTGCTCAAAGCAGGACCATCCCCAACTAGATCACGCCAGCCAAGGCTTTGTCTAGCCAGGTCTTGAAAAATTCCAAGGATGGAGCATCCACCACCTCTCCAGATAACCTGTTCCACTGTTTTACTACCCTCCTAGTGAGAAAATTTCTGCCTGATATCTAACCTAAACTTTCCTTGATGCAACTTGAGAGCATTGCTCCATTGTTCTGTCACCTGCTACCACAGAGAATAGTCTTGCTTAGACACCCCCCTGCCATTAAGCCCCCCCGCTCAGTTTTCTCTTCTCCAAACTAAATAAGCTCAGTTCCCTTAGCCTTTCCTCATCAGTCATGTCCCCCAGCCCCTTCACCATTTTTATTGCCCTCAGCTGGACTCTCTCCAATTTGCCCACATCCTTTTCATAGTGGGGCAGCTGCCCACACAGCCCCTGCTACTGGGGGAGCTGGGAGGGACTGATCCATTCCAGACAGCAGAAACA